TCTACCTGCAGTAGCTCTTGGGCCTCGTATTGGATCAACATTCAGTTAAGAAAAAAAGAAAGTATGACATTTTTTTTTTTTAACAGAGAATAGCTGACTGTGTGAGATTATTCTACAAACACATTTTATACAGATAACGCCTCCCCCCCGACCGTGTTTGTTAATTGGTCTGAATTTGTTCATTGATCATGGGCTTTTGACCGAAAGCCAAAGTGGCCCCAAAATAAACTGGGCATACTCTTTGTTTTATTAATTCCCAAGTGAGCATTTAAAATGTTTATATAAAAAGCAACCTAGCAACACAATAATGACCTTTGTTCCAAATTAGGACCTTTGAATATACACTGGCTGAGGGAGTGTAAAGAAGTCATTATATGCCTTCATGTGTCTAACATGCTTACATACCAGTGTGTAAACAAACAAGCTTTGTTGATTAAACTCTCAGTGACTCAATAAGCCGTTTTTGAATAAAAAAATAAATTAGATTCTCAGTTAAGGATGGAAAATGAAAGAGTTTATATGTGACTTTCTACTTTGCTTATTACTTCTGATTGTAACAAATACATCCCAATTTTAACAAGTTTTATTTAATTCAACTACCAACAAGGTCTATCTGTTTAAATTTTTTCATGTTTCTCATGTTCTCTATCTCATATATATATATATATATATATATATATATATATATATATATATATATATATATAGTAATTGATCAAGCCCAGAATAATCTTCAACAGAATGCAGAAAGCACTAGATGTCCGTTTCGTCCTATTTGGAACTCATCAACAGTGTGCATCGACTACTGAGAACCAAATCCATACCATTTCAATACAACACAAATATCATACCAAATGTACCATGGGCCTCGGTGACAAGGAAGACACAAACAAGACTTGATATAGTGACGCTACTCATTCAGTTCCGCAGTGATACTCATCCAAGTATGCAGATAACCTTGGAACAGTGCCCCAAGAGCAATGTGTGTGGGTGTGTGTGTATATATTATATACACACAGAGGGTGGCAATAAAGTCCCTATACAGTTACTTATAATAAAAAGGCAAAGCATTGAATACACCTGTACATGAAATGCCCCACTAGAGACGATAATTGTCTTGTGGGAAGTAAGGCCATTGGGCCAAGCTTTGTAAAAGCAACAAAATAAATATCTCTATACCCTGTGCCTTCCTGGGCTGAGAAGCTTGGCCCAATGGCCTTAATTCCTGCAAGACAATTATTGTCTCTAGTGGAGCATTTCATGTACAGGTGTATTCAATGCTTTGCCTTTTTATTTATATAATCAGTTAAATGTTATTTTTATTTTAGTGGCTACTCATATTTGAGGAGGTGCTCTGTTTATTTAAACAGTGTATTTGTTTTGTCTACCTTCCTGAATATTCAAGAAATCTTAAAAGAAAGATGCACCCTCGGGTATGATTCAAACCTGCATCCCCTTTTTCAGGGGGATACTGTCGTTAGATCCAATGTGCTTTAGACCAACTTCGCCATGAATGGTCTTGCCAGTCAAGCAAAGACGAATAGTGCCTTCAGGCACAAATTTCTTCTTGAATATTCAGGACAGTAGACAAAAATAAATAAATACACTGACTAAGAATTAAACCAATTGTCTACTCAAATATGGATAATCACTAAAAAAAAAAAAAAATGCTCATATTGCAATAGTTTTTAAGTGATAAAATCTATCAGATTAAAAAAAAAAAAAAAAAGAAATCGCATATATATTTCTTAACCCACCAATTTGTGACACAAGTGGGCACCCATAATCATATATATGTATACTTACACAAAAGGGGTGCTGAAAAGTTCTTGACTCATTGAAAATCTAACCAAATGACCAAACATTAGATCTCTCTTTGTAAAGGCTTCTTTACAGGCATAAATTTTCAGTACACTCTTATTATATAGATATACAGGGTGTCCCCACCCCAAAAATTGACATCACTTAAAATGTGAATATCTGAGTAACTACATATCCCTGACAAACAAAATTAACCCTTAGGAGAAAACAGGGTCGATCTATTGGCTAAAAAGTTGAATGATGAAATTGACAACTGGGCCGATCCATTGGCCTGATAATGCATAGCTGGAGATTAGCTGGATGGTCTTTGTACCAGCCAATCAGATTGCTTCTTGCACATATGGGCCTTTCAATGGCAGTTTTGATCATAGTTTATGTTCTATGATTTTATGTAGACTTTTTTGTGTACCAAGTAAGAGTTTGTGAAAAGGGCTCCATTTTGGCACTGAAACTCTAATTGAGACTGTCTTCAAAGTGTTAAATCGACTTCATGTTGAACAATAAAAGATTTATTTATCGAAATTCAAACAAGAGATTCAAATGGATGTAGATTTTATACCTGATTTCACAAAGCTTCACAAATGTTCAATATGTGCACCACCTGTGACATGACACATGTTAAATCGATAGTCCAGCTCCTACCAAACATGTTGTAGCATGTCTTGCGTAACATTCTCCAGCACCTCAGTGATTCTCTGCTTAAGTTCCTCTAGGCTTGCAGGAAAAAGGCAAATATAAATTTGCATTTTCACATTGACCCATAGAAAAAAAATTATACGGTGTCAAGTCAGGTGAACTGGTTTTCCATTTCAACAGCACATTGCCATTATCAGTGAAAATGCTCAATCCTGGTAGATTTGCATTGAGGTAAGTTCACACAGTTAACTTAATTAGTTTTTACACATTTTATTAAAATTTGAGAGAGAATTGGCTATGTTAATAACTACAAAATGATATCAATTTTGTGGGGACACTTTGAATATTGTCTGAAGAAGTTTGAGCCTTAACCCTAGAACACTAACCGTCAATTAAAGTTACATCACTACTAACCATGGGTATATCCTACCCGATTTTGAAAATATCAAAAAAAAAAAAAAAAAAAATTAAATATAAATCTTTATTTGCAATATTTTACATGCTGGCATTTCAAACTTTGTACTTTAAATTAACATTAATGGAAAATGAAAAACATCTTTAGGTAAGAAAATCAGGTACTGAAAATTGTAATTAAAAATAGGAAATTTTGGTTCAATGGGCACTATATACCCATGGTTAGTGTTCTTAATTAAATTTAAATTTTTTTACTAACCATGGATATATCATACCCAATTTTGAAAATATCAAAAAAAATATTAAATATAAATCTTTATTTGAAATATTTTACATGCAGGCACTTCAAACTTTGTCCTTTGAGTTAACATGAATAGGAACTGAAAAACATTATTTAGGTAAGAAAATCAGGTACTGAAAATTGTAATTAAAAATAGGAAAATTTGTGCTGGGTACTATATACCCATGGTTAGTGTTCTAGGGTTAATACCATTTACAATGCCCATGGCTCTGGAGGTATGCAATGATTCTAATAAAACAGTTGACTCAATGGAATAAGCCTAAAATAGTGATGCAATCTCATCACAATATTTTGACAAGTACACCTATGGCCTCATTGGACCATTGGATTGCTATAATTAAATTGTTGTTCCAACTTCATCTAAACATAATTAAGTGAACATAATAATTATAATTGATTAATATAATAATTATTAATTACTGAAGGCAGATCTAATAGAATAATAGGCAAAATTGTTTTATTTAAAATGTTAGTTGTTATTATGAGCTTTTCTTTGAATAAATTCTTTGCCAGTGTAATTATCAGGACAGTAGATGCATTTATCATTTTCATTAAGTCAATTGTTTTATTCAACATCTGTCTATTTCTCAGATGACGTATTGTAACTATTTACACTATTTACATTGTTCGAACTGTTGTTTTCATCTTTATTGCTATATTCACCTTCAACATCTGTCTCTATTTCTCAGATGAGGTATTGTAACTATTTACACTATTTACATTGTTTGGACTGTTGTCCTCATCTTTATTGCCATATTCACCTTCAACATCTGTCTCTATTTTTCAGATGAGGTATTGTAACTATTTACACTATTTACATTGTTTGGACTGTTGCCATATAAAACCTTCAACATCTGTCCTAACATTTCTATTTATTGTTTGACTGTTGTCCTCATCTTATTCACCTTCAACATCTGTCTCTATTTTTCAGATGAGGTATTGTAACTATTTACACTATTTACATTGTTTGGACTGTTGTCCTCATCTTTTTATTCACCTTCAACATCTGTCTCTATTTTCAGATGAGGTATTGTAACTATGTACACTATTTACATTGTTCAGACTGTTGTCCTCATCTTTATTGCCATATTCACCTTCAACATCTGTCTCTATTTCTCAGATGAGGTATTGTAACTATTTACACTATTTACATTGTTCGGACTGTTGTCCTCATCTTTATTGCCATATTCACCTTCAACATCTGTCTCTATTTCTCAGATGAGGTATTGTAACTATTTACACTATTTACATTGTTCAGACTGTTGTCCTCATCTTTATTTCCATATTCACCTCAACATCTGTCTCTATTTCTCAGATGAGGTATTGTAACTATTTACATTATTTACATTGTTTGGACTGTTGTCCTCATCCTTATTGTCACATTCACAATGTTTCAACTGTTGTACACTCTGGCCTTCTTCAGATGATATCCATTGGAATTTCAAACTGAACCCTTTATTTTGTTCACAGAAAGCTAGAGAAAAAAAAGGTACTCAGACATTAGGTTTATAAGTCCCCAAAATTTACTCACCAGTGGATAAAAGCATTGGTTGAAGTCATTCAAAAGTGACTTGACCCAAAGAGTTGTGAGTTCAATACCTGGCCACAGCAGAGGTGAGCAAAAAGCTTAGAGATTTGAGTTACTCAAGGGAATTCACTGATACTGAGATATCCAGAAAAGGCCTGGAACTAGATCAAGAGTTCGGTTCAAAATCACTGAAGAAGGCCAGAGTGTACAATGGCTGAAACGTTGTGAATATGACACTAACGATGGGGAAGAACAGTCCAAATAATGTAAATTGTTTTATTCAACCCATTGTTTTCCAACATGGCCGTGAGTCTGGTTAATGGTAGTCAAGCTAAGGTTTCTTCACAGAACGAAAAGTGATTTTTTTTTTTGCTTTGTATATAGGTTTATATATATATCCCTTTTCCTTGTCTATGATTGGGTTTCTGTTTCCTTCTAAAGTCCACTTCAACCCTATACTTTTAATGTCCGTCTAAACTTTGAAATTTTATTTGCTACTAGCAGTAGAGCCCGGCATTGCCCGGGGATGTAACAGTAAGAGATAGATCAAGTATCGACCATCATAAAGACTGAAAAATAAAATTGACAAAGATTATTGTTTAAGGTTGATAGACACGCATGTCTTAATTAGTTTTTTTTTTTTTTTTTTTTTTTTTTTAACGAAGTGGTCAAAGCCAAACTCAAACAAAAACATTGTTTTCAATCGTTATGAGTCTATCGATTGAATAGAATTTTATTATAAACAATTGTCTTGTAAATGGAATTTTTAAAGCATTCTGAATGTAAAAATAAAGAAAAAAGTGTGCAAGACAATAAGAAACACTACCTGCCAAAAAAAAAAGTGAAGTTTTGTTGAAATTGGTTGAAAAATGTAGGAAATCCGATCCCATATATAAAGGAACACACACAAACAACCTGGGTTTTATAATAAGTATAATTCGATATGAGTTGTCCCCCTTTCATTCTGGCGACAGAATCGTGTTTTATCATGTTTTCAAATTGATTTCGTGCAAAAACAATTGTGCTTTTCCAATTTTTGGCACTGTCAGAACCACCGCAAGGTAATTTTACGCAGTCCTGTGAAGTTTTGTTAAAATCAGTTGAAAAATGTAGGAAATCCGATCCAATATATAAACGTACAGACACACACACATAATCTGCGTTTTATAATAAGTAAGATTTTTTTTTTTTCATCAATAGGAGTAGATAGTTGTTTGCCTATTGTTCAGTTCATACACCTCCATGGTCTATCAAACAGGAGCAGAAGTTTATCTCTTGTTTCCTGTTTAGGAGTGGGTTTCCAGTTCCTTCTAAAGTTTTTTCGTATTCTCTTTCACTCCCAGTAGCCTCTTGCGTTACAGTGGCATTATTATTTTGCATGGGGTGAATTGATAATATATAAGGAGTTTAAATCGTGTATATTTTTAGGCAGCATATTTTCATTCAAACAGATTTGGTTAAATAATTTAGGCAACTTTGAAATCTATAAGAAAAACAGTTGAAATGTTTTAAATTCACAGAAACATATATGCACACTCACAGACACCCCCCTGAAGATGGTCTCAGATGAGATTGATAGTACTTGGGAAAATAAAAAGTATTTGAAAGAAAAGTTTGGTATTTTTCTTACTTAATTTTGTAAGTCTACCCAAAAAGTTAATCTGCAAACTTGAAAGGATTACAACAAAAACTAATTGACATGATTAAATTATTTAAACAAACCTATAAAAACACACACACACATAATATATATATATATATATATATATATATATATATATAAAGATTCTTCAGAAATATATAATATATAGTGCCACAAACAGTTTCCAAGAGACATTAACATCACCTAATATGGTGGGGTTTGGTATTTTCCTTTTTTGAGGAGAACTGCAATATTATTGGTCTTGACCTTGCATCTTGGTTTCAGTCATTTTCTCACTGCTATAATGTAGCTTCTCTGTGCTTTTTCTGTAAATACTTTCATGTAGATTTTCCTGTTGAGGTTTCGTTTTTGGGACCTAGATTTTACGAATTTAAGCACAGTACTAGATCAGCAGCAAAGTCTCATCATTTTACAATTGAAATGCCTATATGTAACTGTAAATTCTATGCTAACACACTTCTCGCCTGTGGGACTCTTCTGACTTGTTGCTTTCTGAAGACAGAAGATAAGGATTGACATTGCATTTACATTTTTGAAGATCTAAAAATTTAGATGCACTGTCAATCATTGTCTTCTGTCGTCTTAATTTGTTTGTTTATCGTTCTCTCGTTAAGTTTTCTTTCTCATATTCTTTCACACTCAGTAACGCCCTATTTGCAAACCTCCCCAAAGGCAAGACGTGGCCTGTTTTTAACATGGGGCATTCTGAGCCCATAGGCTTGGGCAAAAATTGCCTGTAGACTCCGTATGCACAGGGTTGGGTTTGTTTACCTTTCCAAATGAGACTGCCCTCGGCATTGCCTTGTCTGGGTTCCTCTCCAGCCGGAGGCAGAGATTTAAAACGAGAGGAAGTGAAAGCCTTCTCCTTGTCTTAGTGGATTTATTTCCTTGTTTGGAGTGAGTGGATAAAGAAAAAACGAGTGAGAAGTGGGTATTATTTTTAGGTGGCTGAAGTAGCCACATTATATATGAACTAACAATCTTATAAAAACTATTAAAGATTTCATACAATATTAATATTATTTTCTAAGTTCTTTGAAGAAAATTCTCTAGGAACACATCAATCCTTTTCTTAAAGACTATAGATGAAAAATTTTAAGCGTCGGGTTTGGGTGTGGTTTAAAAGTCTGTCTTTAAACATTCACACAGAAAAGAGGAGACATTTTAAAACTGTTTATTGTTGTTTTTAGTCTTGCAGGAAAAAAAAATGCTCAAAAAGAGGAAGCTCCTAAGAAGAAAGAGAGAAAGAGAGAGAGAATAGACACGTTTTAGACATTAGTCAGCCTGTCTGCTTTCTTTCACGTGTACGAATTTGATATACAAACAGCCCAAAAGATAAAGACATTCACTGGCTACGACGTTGAAACACGCCTCGCGCATTGGCTACGACGTTGAAACACACGCCTCGCGCACTGGCTAAGACGTTGAAACACAAGTCGACACAAACAAGGAAGTTGTCCAGTTGTTTTTTCAATCATTCACTATTTATTTACTAAACTCAACAGTCTGACACAAGACCATCAACGTATAGGGAGCGTTCAGCAAAACTTTAACTCATATAATTTAAAAATGGACTAGTTTTAAATAGCGCCTCGTTCAATCTTCCTAACTAACAACACACCAGGAAGCCGACTAACAGTGCCAGGTCGGTGAAACTCGTTGCGACATGTTAAAAATGTTTTTAAAGTAAAAACTGAAGGGATTGTTTGTTTTAATTATTATTGATCTTTTTGTATTGCATTTTTACGGTGATAAAGCAGAAATTGTTAAACGAACGACAAAATTGGCCATTTTCTTTGTGACACTGACAACCTTTGTAATTTTAATATTAATTTATTAGTCACTGTAGTTTTGGAGTTAATACTTGCACCAAGTCATATTGTGGAGAAAGAAATTCAGGTGTCGACGTCGCGGCTTAAAATAAAAACCTAAATTACTTCGTCAGTCGGATATATTTGGATTGAAATTGGAAAGAAAAGGTGTCATTTGATTCTGATCAATTATTTAATTAAATTAAAGATTGTCGTTAAAGACGTTATTCGAGATTTGGTGCCTGGTTTTAAAAATTAGAGACTTTTTTTTTTTTAAGTAGCACCTATTTTCAATAGTTATCTTCCCAAATTTACAGCTTTCATGTTTGTTTGTTTTTTTTATCATTTAATTTATTTTTTATTTTTTACGATCTTTGAAGAAAAAAAAAAGAGAAAAGACTGCTATAAAATTAAAATTCTTCAAAGACGTCAAAGATTACCCCATTTTAAAAAAAAATGTTTCCTTTTTAAAACTATGTGACTATTTTTTGGTTAAAAAAAAAAAAAAAGAAAAATAAAGAAAAAAAAAAAGAATGGAAAATCTGAAATTCCTAATAAATGAAGCTTTAAACTTTATGAGTTTGTAATCCTAGGTTTCACGCTTTTGCGATCATCAGACAAACTGGTTTATTTTTTAAAAAAATATGGATCTATTTTTAATTTTTATGCTTAAATTAAAAATAAACCAGTTTGTCTGGTGATCGCAAGCAAGCACTTTCCACTAAGTACCGCGCATATATGTTCCAAAGATTAAGCTTTTTATTTAATATTTTTTTTCCTTATGTTCGAACAAGTGTTTTCTTTCCTGAACACAAAGTGTGTAAAAGAAAAAAAACAAACTATCCAAATCTCCTGTAATTCTGAGCACTTTCGGCTATACTTTTTTTTTAGCCATTATCAAGGATTATTTTTTATTTTTGCTTTTTAACTGGATGTATGCGTTGTGTGTATTTTGAGTTATATAGGGATGTTTTATTTTCAGAACACAGTCAGCACATTGTGGCTGTGTTCGTAGTTAATGTTGAGTTATTGAGTGTTGGCTTTTTCTTTGTTTATTAGGACTTCCGTTATTTTTAATCTATTTTTTTTAAACGTGTATGAGGTTTATGTCGTCCTCCTGATTACTCTTCCTTTGTTACCTCTTCTTAGTAATGTTTGTCAGTTTGTGTTTTCTAATTCTTCCATACCCAGTTAAACTTCTTGTTGTTTTACTGATTTACTTGAGGGTAAACTTGCTTAATGAAAATGAACAAATAAAAATTGGAAAACAAAGGTCGTCATTCTGTGATCAGTCTTTTTGAAAATTAAAACATTTTTTTAGTTTAAAGCCATTTATTTTTACAATATTTTACTGTTTTTGTTTTTTTTAGTCTTTTACTTACTAGTGTTTATTTTATATTTTTAGGCTTGGCACCTCTTTGCTAAACGGATTTCCTCCTGTCAGTGAATTGCTTTTTTGTAGGAAATGGAAAAAAAAAAAAAAAGTATCTAGATATCGGACACGACCCAGTCACCGGACATAAGAACAACTTTGTATTTTTTAATTTACAAAAGATAAATAAGATAAATAAAAAAATTGTTTTCTTTCATCGAAAATCTTCTGGTATTTGGTTTGAATGCAGAAATAGGAATTTGTCAAAAAAAAAAAAAGAAAGAAGCATTGCATGTCTCATAAATTCTGATTCATATTGAATTGAAGTTAATGAAATGAAGTTATATTGGCATGCGTCAAGGTGATACCTTCATCATCCAAATTCTGTTAAATTCAACCGACAAGATCAAATAAAAATAATTAAAAAAAAGAAAAAGAAAAAAGGTATTTCATT